AGACTTCCAATAACAATACCCAATTGTTAATTTAACCGGTTTTTAATGCTCAAGTTTTTTTTATCTATTAAAAGTAACGACGTTACATATCTACATAGTTTGTCTCAGAACCACAGCTTAGCGTATTTTTTTCGACTGCACCACGTTAAAGATCAACTAAAAATTTACAAATATGAATGAAAAATTAAAAATAGAATTTTCGCACGCCACGGTGTGTTTATCGTACGGCGCCACATATGTATTTTACATGTTTTGTATTGGTTTGAAATCATGAATAAAACGACAGGGTAATTAATTTAATGTTAAAATCTTACGGTTATATTTTAATCTATAACATCGTATATCATGAACCGTCAAAAAACTAGTCAATCCGTCATTATATCTACCCGCTTTTATCTCTCCTCTCTCTCCATGTGTATCTCTTTTCTATCTGTATCCCTATATCTACCCCTTTCATTATAACTACATTTATCTTAATCTGTTTTGCTTTATCTTTTTTTTCCTTATACTCTCCTAATCTTTTTTATCTATATTTTGTATTTATCATTGTCTTTATTCATATACATATTCACTACCCCCTTTGTTCTTATAAAGGTAAAATGTTTAAATTAACTTTGATTTCATTTTTATACCTTTCATGAGCATGAAATGGTATTATAACTTTGGTCCGATGTTTGTAAGTACCAGAACAAAAAGAGATAGACCCATGAAAATGTATACTTATATGATCAGAACGTCGAGCTGAGTTGATTTAGCCATGTCCGTCTGTCCGTCTGTCCGTCTGTCTGTCTGTTTGTATGCAATCTAGTCTCTCAGTTTTCGAGATATCCGGATGAAATTTGGTAGGTGGGTGTATTTTTATAATGTATTAATCATTTGTCGGAACCGGAAGAATCAGACCACTATAACATATAGCTCCCATACAACTGATTGTTCAGATATGAGATTTTTCATTATAACTTCGCCATTTATGCAGCTACGAACATGAAATTTTGCAATACTTGCACCCATTATCAACAGAATACTTAGAGTGAAAATTACAAAGATCGGGTCACTATAACCTATAGCTCCCATACAACGGATTGTTCAGATATAAAATTTTGCGTTATAACTCCTCCATTTATATAGCTAGGAACATGAAATTCCGCACTGTTTTCAATAATTATCTACAGAAAACTTACAGTGAAAATTAAAAAGATCGGGTAACTATAACCT